AACTTAAGTTGCTGTGTAGTTGCTAAAAGGCATTGTTTAATTGCCATTATAATAATGTTGTGTAATCATTACATTACATATTTAAGTATCCTTTCAAACCACTGAGACTCACACACACACACACACACACACGGAGGATACCATTTAAAAAAGAAACAGGAGCTGACATAGCAGTACGGATTATTTGCGATGTGAGAGGAGGGATGTCACCTGGGAAGTGTGTTACGGCTGAGAAATCTGGAAACAGTAAAAGAAGAAGAGGGAAAAAACAGGGAACATCAGAGGTAGGTGGGTATGAAAGTTGGCTGGTGTGACCTCTGACATCCCTCTCTCTTGGCTGCTCCCTTTGAGCCGCTAAAAGGCGTGTGGTGTGAGAAGCCAGAAGACAGCTGCAGCCCCCCTTCTCCTCCTCTGGGCTCTCTCTGGGAAACTGAGGTCCCCTCTCACTTTAAATGCTGTGGGGTCAGAAAGAGCCGGGGCCCAGTTGAGGTGGTCCAGCCAGGGATAAAGTTTCACTGCTTTACATGGCCAGTCTGGACTGTTTTGTGTGTATGTGTGTGTGTGTGTGAGAGGGAAAGCTGCTTGTGGAAAACTACTCTCTATTAAAACCACAAATAAACTTGCTGTAATGATCGCAAACACCCTCCCTCTGCCACTACACTCTTCCACACAATGTACACCTCGCATTACTTGCAAATATTTACACATCACAGTATGTGCATATACCGATATATACGCAGCAACTGTAGCTGCTGTAAGGAATGGTGAGAAAACTTTCAACATGCAGCACTGAAATCTGTCGTGAATAACACAGTAAACCCGGTAATGGATTATGAGAAGCTCACCTTTTTATCTGATGTTCACACCTAAAAGAACTTAAAGCCTTTTTAGGAAACAGCTTCTGCATTCACACCTAAACAGAAACACAGTCTTGAACATATACTGACAGACACAAGTCAGCTTTGCAGTCCAGCCATAGGTCAGCATTAGAGAAAGGATGTCTTGAAAATTGCATGAGATGCTAAGGAACTGAGAATTTTCATAGCTTAGGGGAAAAAACAGGGAAACTACACAACTGTAAGTGCAATAGGTCTAAGTTTAAGTAAGAAATCAGTAGGTCAACTGTTATGGATGATTTACATGGATAGTTTGGATAATTTAACCAAGATCCAGAGCAAACTTTCAACCTCAACTTTGATGCCAACATGGATGAACTATCCTTTAACTGCACAGAAAAATGGAAATTTCAGTTCACTCCATCTGCTGAGGGATACAGCGTGATATAATACAAAGCCCCAGAACAGCTACTAAATGGACCTTGTAGTGAGATTGCTTTGTCAAATAATTTTACCATTGTCTCTTTACCATGTCCTCTTCCCAATAGGTTTGTCCAACCTGGAGATTTGTCTGAAACTATCTTCTTCCTTGGCCCATGCTACACCCTTCTACCAAGTTTCATGAAGATCGTGCCAGTAATTACAAATTATTGGCATAGAAGACATAACCTCCTTAGGTTATAATAAAGTGGAACCCTAAAGAGAGAGAGAAATCCAGAGAGAGAGAGAAGGAAAAAGAGTTGCTTGATCATATTGGACTCTCCCTTTGTCATGTATTGGGATTCACAGTGATTAGAAGTCCAGCACCAACCTTTATCGACCATGAGGTATGAGCCTCATGCTCAATACCTTTTGTCTGGCTGGCAGGCCATGAGTTAATGTGCTGAACAGTAGAACAGGATGGTAAAGTGGGGAGGGAGAGGAGAAGCCTGCATCAGATTGATCTGCTGCATATCAGCGGACCGCAGGAAGCAAGCAAGCAAACACACATCTGTTCTGTAAATTACACTTCATCCACCAAGCTCTAGTCAGGTACACAGACACACAGACAGTCGTATTTCCATCACTTCAGAGGACATTACATTGACTTACAATTATTTCCTGTAGACCTACCCTAACCATAACTACTACTTACCTGACCTTAACACTTACCCTAACCTTAAGCCAAGTCTTCACCTAAAATTTAATGGGGACTTGTGTTTAGTCCCAAGAAGGAAGGCGAGTCCCCTCAGTGTAAACAGATTTATGTCCCCACAACATGAATAACACATGCTGTCACACACACACACACACACACACACACATAAAGACAGTCACTGGATTTAATTATTACTATATCTAGTTTATTATCACTGCTATTGTTTTCCTTCAGTTTTGCACAATGAACCCTAAAACAATACAAACCACTAAAAATGGTCTATTTTTCCTTTTTACACACATACATACACGCATACAGTACATACTGTATATGTGAATATGTATACAGATTTATAATTGCAACAACTTGGTCCAGAGAGTGTAGAAACATAACTTTGAGGAAACATACAGGAGTGATCCCTGACAATGCTCTGAGAACGCTTATTAAATCATCTCATACTGACCTGAATTAAACAGTGGGAGAAACAGTGACGGCAGAGAGAGAGGCAGTGACCTCAGCAGACAAACATACAACAAGACAGACAGATGTGTGATCATGGGCTGACTTTACAGATGTGTGCTCCATTTGTTCAATCCAAATGGTGGATCAATTAATCAAACACAGCTAACAATCCAAATGAGGCCAATTTTGTGCCAGTAAACAAGTAGTTTACTCCACTGGTAACGCATGTGGTTTTTGGTTTTAAGTTGGCACCATATTTGAACCCTGTAAGATAAAATAGAAGAAAAAAAATAGAACTGCATAGATTAAATAGAAGATTTAGTCGTTTAAATGAACTATAATGCCAGTAAAAGCAACTCTACTGGCGTGAAAGTAAAATGGCAGAAAGCCTTTCCCTTCTCTTGCCAAACACATCAGAACTCAACTGTTGTGCTTGTGAGGTCAAGTCTTGTGTGCATAATGAAAATTATTGTCCTGCTCATTTCATCAGCTTCACCAGGACTTGCAGCTAGTATCTATAATCTTTTTTTGTTATATATTGCTAATGCATTGATCCGTAGAGAATGGCAAACGCCTTATTTTCCTTGGTGGGGGGCTGTTTGACTGTAAAAATAAAAACTGAGTCTACTGAGCCTACAATGTTTTTCACTCCATCTTTGTATTTTCACGTGTCAGAATTAAAAGTTTAAAGGCCCTGAATACATATTGAGGGATGCAAACTCATCAGGGGTGAAAAAGGTGACAAAGAAGCGAAACTGGGGTTTGGTCAATTAAACGACAGTGAGTAGATGTGATGTTTATAAATTGATTTCACAAGTTAGATTCTGTTGTTTTTAGTGAGCCTGTCCTTTACCCTCTTCTCAGGTGACACAATTAGGCTCCTGTAACAAGTGTTTAACTACATCGTAAGTAGGCTAACGTAAGACAAAATCAAATTGTTTAATTACATTGTGGTTATGACAGTATTAGATTTGCTAATAGTATCTTAGCATAAAGAAATTGGAACCATCAGGGGCTGAGGTTAACATTAAGTTGGCACACAAGTTGGCTGAGAAGCTCAACAAAATCGTAATGTTAGTAATGTTAAACAAGTGGTCCTAGAGCCCTACTGTCAGTAACATAAGTAGAAAACCCAAGTACCTTAGCTAACGTTAGACCCAGTGGAACAACGTGGCGTTGTGATGGCTAGTGTTAGTACTAAACAACTCAGCAGAATCAGGCTAATTAATAGTCCCAAGCTTGACATATCATCAGCCAAAAAGTGACCTCCCAGAGGTGGTCCTCTTCAGTCTCTTTTTTTCCTTACAACCACCTCTTTCAAACTCCTTGCATCTACACAAACTATCGCACAAATTAATTATTTTGGATTCCAAACGGTGATTGAAAGGTGACAAGTTTGCATCCCTGATATTTCTCAGCTTCCTAAAATGAATAACAGGGGTCCTATCCACCTCCCCCAAGTACATAAAACCTGCACATAATAACTAATTATTCCAGCATCCTTTGTACTATGCTCCATCACAGTGTATAAATTTATGCATGTATGTGTACCTGTATATCACATCCACCTCCGACATGTACATAATAATAACAATTATTATAATAATTTACTCCTGCATCCTCTGCTCATTGCACTATTGTCTCAATCTGTCTATATTATTTTTGTTTCTGTTTATAGTGTGTATATATTGTGTTCTCTATACTGTAGCCTGTGATTTTATTTTATAATTGTATTATTATATGACTAAGCACATCGTGTGCAATATCCAACCCTGAGTCAAATTCCTGGCAAATAAAGCTGATTCTGATTCTACATGAACGCTGAAGTTTTGGTGATCTCACATAAAACATTTCTGCATTTGTGTTTCACTTTTCCCTCTCCTCATTTAAAGTAGGCTCAGTTGGAAAAAGTGATGTCCATGCACCAATTAGCAAATCCTGATCTGATGATGATTGTTGGGTTGTTTGGTTATTTTGCCAGATAGCTGTCAATAGAGTATGTCCTGATGAAGCAGATTAGTGGCGTTTTTGAGTCCCCCCCCCTGAACTTTAACTTTGATTGTGTCTTATATACTCATATATATTTTAGGTTTGAGAAATATTTGAGCTCCGAAACCAAGTTTTCAAGGGCATTAAACCCAATAATGGAGTTTAAACGTCAGTCTTAAATTTTGCAGTTGCAGATGAAATAAATAACATTTCTACACAACCTTGTACAAATCCAGCTTTTCTAATCACCTCTACTGAAGGTAGTGACGAGGTGTGGAAACTTTCAATTAGCTTGGCCAATGTTTTTGTCAAACAAAGTTAAACTAATCTTGCAAATATGTAAAATTCAAACCAGCAACACTGAGCAGGAGAGGGTAAAATATTCTTACGCCTTCATGGTTTGATATGGAAACACTATATCGGCATAATTTTCCCTTTAATTACTAAATGCTCTTCTTCCTGCCGTGTTGCAGAACTGAAGCTTGACTGTGAATCATAAACATAAATGCAAAGCAAATCTGCTATGTAGTGCTCTATACAGGAAGATTTTGCAATGAGTGTTTCTGTAAGCATGCTTAAACAATGATGTTTTACTGAGAAGCTGATTGACTTTCAGGTTTGACACTTACGTCACAGGACAAGTGTTGAGGGTCAGTCACCTGCAGAGTAAAGTCCACTGCTCAGATAAAGGTGGCCAAATGAAGGATGACTAAACGGCTTTAGATCGCGCTGACAACATCAGAACAGACATTCTCCTCAAGCAAAGATGGTTTGTGAAGGAAAATAAAGAGAACATGTCACTTTAAAGGTAACAGAACCTCAGGAGGTGATCATCAGGCATCAGCAAGGGCAAGACAGATGTACAGTAGATCTTTTTCAACGGAAAAGGTCACTCAACCTATTTTCATCAATACAAACCATCAAAACAGATTGACTGACAATGTGAGACAGGACCATCGATAGCACCATACTGAGATCACAACATTATTCTGCCATTAATCAGCTAAATATCACAGTGTTACCATCACAAGTCCAATAATGATTACTTACACTTTGTTTCTCATGCAGATCTACTCTGGGCTTTTTCTCTGCCTACTATCTTTAAACACATTGGATTCAATCTGCTTTCTTGACAGAGGTATATAAAATATAATACTGATTTCAAACATTAAAGTACAATTACATAAAATCACCATTTGACCAAACTCAGCATTATTTGACATGTACAGTCATCGGGGTCTCAGAGCAGAAAACCATAGAGATAAATCCATTGGAAATGTAATCAATTCACAATCATATCGCATGGTCATTTGGTGCCACAATAATCAATGCCAAGTAAAGTAAAGGATATTTCAAGAAGAGGCGAGTTGCATTAGGTGTTGGATTTCAGGTTAACATCCTCATCACAATGATCAGCCATTGAGTTATAGCATGTACTCACATCCATAATAGACATTATACAGTAGAAAAGTCTAGCCAGTTTAAGCTTTTCTTGTCCTGACTTGATCTGGTTACCTGTGTTCAGTTAATGCATAATAAAAAAAAACTGCACAGACAGATATATGGTCTGTAAGTTAGAACCATACTGACACCATAATATCAATGTAAAACAAAATCTGCACATGCCCAGTTCAGGATGTCTTCTTTATGAGAACCTGAGTGTAAGTATGAATGAAGTACAGCTGCAACTAATGAATATTTTAATTACCGATTAATATTATTTTCTTAGTCTACTAAATGTAGTGAAAAATCAGAACTTTTGTCACAATTTCCTGCAGCTCAACCTACCTTATTTAAAACTTGTGTTTTGTCTGAACCACGGTCTAACCCCCCCCAAACTATTCACCTTACTAACACCCGTGATAAAGAAAGCAGCAAATTCTCGCAGTTTAGAAGCTTGAACTAGTTCTTTTTTGGCAGTTTTGTTTGATAAATTATTTATCAATTATCAAAATAGTTTTTGATCTATTTATATCTATTATTGATTCATTCACTTAATTGTTTTAGCTCCATAATGAACATTAACCATATTCAATAATCTTAAGAGTAATACTTCACTGAGAACAACAAAAATCTAAATTCTCCTTGTGAATGTAAATTCCCTGCTTTCAATTTTCAATTTTATTCAATGCCAATTCACAACAGAAGTTATCTCATTGCATTTTTAATACAGAGCAGGTCGTACTATTAGTATTAATGAATTTGTCACATGTTGTTTTTCCACAGAAGTTGTAACCTCGTGTTAATGTTTATTTACTTAAAAGGCCAACAAAGAAGGCATCCTTTAGAGAAAATCTTAACTGGGCATAAAGCAGAATTTCAAGAGGAAAATCATGTCCAGAAGGCCAAGCGTGCCCTGCTGATAGACATATAACAAGCAGATCAGAGAGTCCCTGAGAAACACTCTCCCTGTCCAATGGTCAGGATTCTTGAAAGATGAAAAAAAGAGACTGGCTAAATGACAGGAGAAGAGTTTGGTGATATAGCACTTCTGCAAAATACACAAGACAAAGGCCCCTTTTCTCACTAACTGTCAGCACAGGAATCATCTGCTCCCTTCAGCTGATGGAGTTACTGCACTACTCAATCATGAAGACCAGCTTTGAGGGCTCCATTAAATCACATAAGTTCTAACATTATACGGCAATACGACAACCTGACCTATCAAAGTCTAATCACGTAAACGCGATCGTCACTGCACCACATTCCCCCGTGAATCAAGTTAAACAGTATGGCACTAAAACCTGTCATATCCACGGGTGAGGTGTGGGCAATTTCCTGCAGGAAGAGATTAACCCTAAATTACACCGAGGGACAGAGGAAGGAAGGAAGGAAAGAAGGAAGGAAGGAAGGAAAAAAAACACACCACTTGTTTCCCCACTTGTTACTCATGACAACAGAAGTAAAAACACTGATTAAGGCTGCAGCAGCCCTGGAGAGAAAATATCACATTGGTAGTTAAATATACAAGCAGCACTTATTTTGACAAGTAGCATTATTGTTTTTTAAACACTTGTAACATGATAGTAACACCAAAGTGTACAATTAAATACAAGAAATGGAAGCAAGGAGAAAATCTGCAAACAAATAAGCATGAACAAATACATTTTTAAAAGGCATAACATTACAGTACATAAGATGATCAGCAACATGGAAACTGTGTATAATGCATGTTTTCAGAACACACAAAGATGGAAGGTGATTCTCTGCTGTGGGGACAGGTACAACTCTCGTGTGGAATGTAATAGATGATCAGAAGATATGATATACTGTATATAGAGCCAAAATATTGTTTGCAATTTGCATAAGCAAAATGGTAAAAACTGAAAAAACCTCCTGTTATTGTCTTGAGAGTGTTCATGCATTAACGTTAGCCCAAGACGCTAGCCTCAGCCATTTTTAAATAGCTCCAATAAACTTGCTTTAGCTCAATTGCAATCAAAATGACCTTTCCATCTGACCCACTGCATGCCCTGTTGCCTGTCAGTAAACTAGACAACTGTTCTTTGCTAACGTAAATTTGGGAAAGCTAGCGGGCATGCTGGACATGCGCTTTGCATGCTGAACAAATTACACCAAACTGTCTGAGAGTTAATGTAAGGAAGGACCCCCACCCCCAGGTAAAGAACTACTGATATAGGTAAAGGTGTTTGCTGTCTTACTGTGACATTACTCAACGTTACTCAAGTGAGGCAGCAGAACAAACAGAACAAGGTCAACTCTACAATGCTGCAATGTCAGTGACACTTGGAATTACAACTAGTAGGCTGACATGAACTGTTTCACTCGGCTGCTCAGAAAAACAACCTGAACAGTACATCACATGAATGCAGTAAAGTTAAGGTAATGAGTCACGCTCAAGTTTAGAAGCCAAAAAAGTAAATCAGTAAACCAATTGTGTGGATTTGCATGTGTGTGTCTTAGAGTTGTAAGTGCCATCCACTATACTTTTGACAGTTTATTTCACTAATTCACAGATACATTTTCCATGGAGGATATAACATTAAACAACAGTCAGAGAAAATTCAGTTAAAAGCTTGTGATATCACAAAAAAAATTCTGATGATACATTCACATCCACTAGGAACTAAGCATGAACTTGAACTTTTTTAATAATTAGTGCACGAGATAAAGGTCCTAAAAAGTTCACCCTCCATTTGTGTGTTTGTGTACTGTATGTGTCCTTTTCTGTCTACTTTTTTCTCTCCAGCATGTGTCAACAACTGCAATATATATACATTTATAAATGTGTGTAATCCTCTACTCCAATGTTTACTTAATTAAGACCTGAGAGAAAGGCCAAAAACAGGGTTGAGGTAGGTAACCATAATGCATTAGAATCCTGTACAGTATTTGACGACACAGCGCAGAGAGCCGGATAAAGCTGGATAAAGCCGACCATCTATCTCCCTTACCCATTTCTCTGTCTGTGGTCGTTAGTTAAAACTGTTCCTGAAGCACTTTAACTAGTCAGTTTTGACAGGAGGGAGAAGGCTGAGCAGCAACTGTGGTTTTGGGAAGAGAATCAAGCATGGTCAGCCACTGTCCTGTCTCCTGGGCACCAGAAGTCTAAAAGGCTACTGTTTTGTTTAAAAAGGAGGCAGATAATGTGACATGACAATAAAATCACAAAGAACACTACAGCAACAGATATCCAGAATGACATTAGAAATACACTGCTGCCAATTTTAATCAAAGGAAAAGGAACATTTTGGGAAATGTGCTTATTTGCTTTCTGCCGAAAAGATTGATACCTCTCTAAAACCTGTCCGTTAAATATGTCTGAGTAGGAGACTCTAGGAAGTTACTGCTCCCACTCAGAAAACAGTCAGGCACGTTATTATTATATTACTGTTGAGGTGCTCCCTGTTTCCAGTCTTTCTGCTAAGTTGAGCTAACCATCTGCTGGCTGAAGCTTCGTATGCGGGTGGTATTGATGGTCTTATCTAACTTTCCCCCAATAAAGCGTATTTCTCAACATGTCAAATGAGTCCTTTAAGTATGAAGCTAGAGATGGGATAAAATTAGCTTAGCTTAGCATAAAGAGGGAGAAGCAGCTAGCCTGGCTCTATCCAAAGTAAAAAGAATCTGCCTATCAGAACCTCTCAAGCTCATTTATTAACACAGTACATGTAGTTTGTTGAATCTGTACTCATACAGTAATGTAAATACGACAATCTGTGATTTTAAGGGAAATGATGTGATGTACTGGACATGCTAAGCTCGGCTATATATCATCTAACTGTCAGCAAGACAGCCAATAAGCGTATTTCCAACAATGTAACACTATTGTTTTAAGTCATTACAGAGATTTGTGCTTAATTTTCTTCCTGTCTTATATACATCATATTCGTATGTGAATATTCAGTAAATCAATTGAACGTATCTGCACACACTCACACTCACAGCTTTCAACCATAATGCTAATTTTAGACAGATATGATGCCTGTAGATTATAGTATTTTGCCTCTAGTCCAATTGAACATTATGTATCACATTTTCTTCAGCAGTAAATTGTCCTCAGCAATCAGCAATGCAGTGTATCTCTAACAGTCTTTTCATTCAACTGAAACAGCTACTTTAAAAAAAAAATGTTTTATGATCTTTTGAATGAATTAGGAAAAAGAAGCTTATAATGGAACAGCATAATTCATACATAGGTAACCAAAGTTGGTTCCTAACATACTGTAATTCATCAACAACAGTGTTATCAGTCTGTCAACTTGCATGAGGTACTGACATTGCATCTACACACACCATATTCATCAACAGAGGGAAGCCAGGACTCCACAGAGGGGGGAAACAAGGGTTTTTCATTATGTAGTAAACAAACAAACAACAACAACAACAACAACAACAGCGACAACATTAACATTGTTATCTTGAGGTAGAACATTAACTTCAGCTTTTGGAAGTGCTTTATGTTGGATTCTCGCTTTTTTCATTTTTCTTCGACAAGCAGGAGAAGAGAGACGACTCTTGACATCTGAGGTAGCGCGGCACCTGATTTTGTAATTTTCAAACCAATCAGTTTCTCCGCATGTAAAGTAATTGTGAGCACAGGGAAAGGCAAAGTCCCTAAAAGCTTCCCTGCAACACATTCATTCCGGCTGAGGTAGGTTTTTGTTGAATCGTAAGGTTCACATGACCAAGTCTAGCGCCTGTATGAAGGCAGAGAACTCATAAAAAATGTTGATATCACTGAAACAAAGTCCTGAGACAGAATATATCGAATCCCTGGACGAAGGCTGAGGTCTTCTGTGAGCGAGAAGGTGGAATCATTGGTAGGTGAGAGCAGGCAGCAGGAGTCTTTGACATCCACAGAAAAGTAGAGATAAGACCAATAACTTATAACCACTTATGACATATAGGTCATAAAGATATATACGTATAGATATATTTATAAACTTAAAAATAAAATCATCATTGTATAACAAGGACATTCTGGGGCTTCTATTCTGTGTGCTGCCCAACACCAGAAAGTTAACAAGAGAGACCAAATTGTACAAACAAACATGTAACTGGCCTTCCTAGCTAGAAACAGCCGTCCATCAGAAGAGACCTCTCCCAAACCCCAGGCAAAAATCACTCAGATACACAGTCCTAGATCATCTAGAACTTTAGTTACCTTTAAGTTACCAATAAAAAAAAATATATTTGCACAAAAAAACAAACTACTTCGAAAGGAAACACTTGTCAACCTGAGTGAGAGAAGAGTCTAAGTGGACACTGTGGACAGTGTCGTGTGAATTGGCCTTCATACATGATTAGCCTTGGTCCTGCCGACTCGGTCCTGCTGCAGGAGGCTCCTGGAACTGTGTTTCTAGCTCCACCGCAAACTCATCCAGCGGTATTGTAGACAGCTGGGTGTCGTTCAGCACGTAGGAGTTGGACTGAAAACACATGCAAACAATAGTAATTAAATACAGTTTGACAGAGAGTACATTTAATTAATTTATTGGGCATGTTAACCTAAAATGACAGCAGAGATAGCCAGGAAACATGGGATGACATCCAAAAAAGGTCCCTAGTCACTTATCTGCAGCTACATGGCAGGTTCCCCAATCCCCAGGCCACCAGGATACCCTGCCTCTTTTCTATGATAGGAGAAATTTTAGTGCAATTGGGGATATTGTTTATTATCTGAATTCCCTTAATGCTTTACCTCAGTGTAATTTTTAGTGCTTTTACCACAATGTAATATATCCACTATAAAAAAGCATATGCCAAGGTGGCCATTAAAAGCTTACATGTTCACAGACTGAAGAAAGTATTTTCTCCTGTTTTACTGTGTTGTATTGTTTCTAGTGTATTGTTCTGTTGGGAATGGTTGTCTTTCTATTGATTTGCTCTTTGTTAGAGGAATAATGAGTAAAATAAATTAATAATGGTGACTGCTGGAAGCTGCAGTCATTCTTAACCAGAGACACAAAGCTTTAGGGTATATTTTGGAAAGAAAGAAAGATGAATAAATCATGGACTGCTGTCTTTTTGCTTAAAAAATGACAAGGATTTCTTTACAAATGTCAACACTTAAAGCCTGATAATTCAGCATCTCATTCATACTGCTGAACTGCTTTTTCTGATGGAATAAATAGTCTGTGGATCTGTTTTTGGAAATAATGAGCATTTTAAATGTGGACTTACTACATTTTATTACAACTTGGGTTTATATAATTTATTATGATTTTATTTATAACATTTCACTCACCAGTGTAACTTCTGACAACTTCTGATATCAGAATGTAACAACATTGCTAAAAATAGGCTGAAAAGGGCAAAAAACGAGGTGAGAACTTCACATTTTAAACAAGCCAACAGTTTTTTCCAGATCAGCTGCTACTTTATCTGGAGGTACAAATAAACGTTTTCCCTCCCCTGACAGAACTGATGGCCAGAGCGACCGCATGTGCCCAGTTGTAATAAACCATATTTCTCCATTAAAATATCTTTAGCCATGTTGTGTTTTTGTAAAAACAATGTCAGATTTCACAATGAATTGATTAAAAAAGGCTTTCATTTCTCACTATCAGACTCACCATGCATGTGTTGGGTGTTGATGCATTGGGTTGGGTGAATAGTCTCTCGAGCTCGTTGCTGTCAACCACTTTCTTCCCTGCTGCGCTGCCATTGACTTCCATCTCTCTCCTGGCAGCCCCGTTAAGCCCAGAGGCCCCCTGGGAAGAGGAAGAGGATTCCAGCACTGCGCTATGCCGTGCCTGGGGGGTGGCCTGAACTGTCTTGCACATCATTAACCTGGGGATTACATGAACACACACACACACACACACACAACACATATCAGCTGCATGTACAAGATAGACCGACACTAACCCTCAACAGCAATTATTGGTAAGTTGTTACTGCCGCCAAGGAGGTTTCGGTGACATTTGTTTATTTGTTTGTCTGTCAACAGGATTTCTGAAAAACCACTGGCCTGATCATGAAACTTGGTGGAATAGTATAGCATGGGCTGAGGATGAACCCATTCCATTTTGGAGTGGCTCCGAATCACAGGGCAGAAACACAAATTCTTTTTCTTTTATGTTAACAATGTGAGATAGGTCACTTGTACAACATAACATCCACCTCAAACACCGTAGAAACAAACGCAGAAGGTGTGTGAGAAATAAGCAATCAGGGATGTGATTTTTCCAGATTGATCCAGAATATTCTGACCTGTGTCAAGTCCATAATAAAGGCAGAGCTGAGATGATGAGGCTTCAGCTGAAGACAACCATATTTCCACATATTGTACTTCTAATAGTTTTTTAAATACATACGTATCATGGAAAACTGGACTATTGGCCTTGGTGGAGGTCTGTGCTCTCCGAGTGCCGTTCTAGTATCCAATGGTTCCATTTATTAGGGATTTACACGCCATGTCTCTACTGACCTGCCGCGGTAGCTGAAGACAAGGAAGAGCACACAGAAGATGATGCAGGTGACTCCGATGTGAATGCCGATTATGATGCCTGTAGAGGATGTTTTGCTCTGGTCATCTTTCACACAGTCGCATGGACCGTCCAACACTGGGGAGAAACAGTACACCTCACAGTCAAACCACCAGTTTGTATAAACAGGGCTGTGTCAGGGAGGTGTGCGTGTGTGTCTGAGAGTAAAGGACACATGTGACTCAGCGAGACGCATTAAATGTAGATGTGCTGGGGTGATGTGGGACAGTGTGTAGCTACAGTATGTGTAGCTGGGTTTGGTTGTGTCAGATATTCACCAGATTTCTCCACTGCCTCCCGAAGTGAAACAATTCGCACGGTGGAATTGCCATCTCCGTGTTGGTTGTATGCAAGCAGCTTTATCTCATAAACCAGTGCAGGATCTGGACAAAAAGAAAAGACAGAAAGAGATATTCAGATAATGAATGAAGCACATGCTTAAAACAGTATTTATTAAGCATCTCAGAGGAGACTGTCACTCTTGTCTGGATAAATGTGCGTGTCACACAATTGTGACACATATTTAGTCCCTTTGTGACATATTTAGTCACTTTTTTAGATCTAGGAAAAAATAATTATTTTATAATAATAATAATTTTAATCTATAAAAGTAAACCTGTTTCTGCTGATAGTTATGAGAGAAGTCATTTTCTTTGCTGAAAGAGTAGGGAGCATCATGAATAACACCTAACACCTAACAGTCCTTCTCTGTTTATATTTCATTACAATTCCATGGAGGAAGTCTGAGATCTGTGTTAATGGTCCTAGATCACAGTATCAAATGAAGATTACAGTGATGATTAGGATTGTAGAAACAAGTCAGTTAAAAAAACAAAGATGTTTGCTATGACAAAGTCCTAAGAAACTACATGTCCTACCCAGCTGAGTGATGATGTACTGGGTGTAGTTGCGAGGGAAAATAATGGGACCAGTGAAGAGTGGTGTGTGGGCTCTTCTGTAATATAGTCTGAAGCCTTGATGTTGGCCCATCTTAGAGGAAGGCTCCCACGTTGCTTGTATAACACTGCTGTTCACCACCTTGGTGTAGAGGGAAGGAGGCGCTGGAACTGCAACACAATACAGACTGTCAGCATGTCAACAACATGAGAGTAGCAGCACCAGTTAGCGATAGAACTTTATTTTTTTATCTGCAGAGTGTGAATTTTGAAACCTCATTTGCAGTAACATGTACAGTAAAAACATCATTGATCATCATCAAAATGTTTTCTCTTTTTTAGAGTTTCACAATTGAAAATAGCTGACATCACGATTTAAAAGGAATGTAACTATGATGGTTATTTAGATTTCCAGGTAACACATTTAATGTGACAATCGAATCACATATCTGCTTTATATCAAAATATTTGTAATCTGTTTCGAAACTAGCCTGATATGAGGTAAATATAGATCAAGGGAGACTTAACCTAATCAAATAACATCACAATCCAAAACAAGCCTAAATTTATTAAAGTAATAAAGACAGGGTATAGATCTAAGGTTATCCACCTTATACCGGCATTCTGCAGTTTATAAGCTCAAAATCTTGCATGCTTTCACTCTCAACAAGGACAACAAACATGCAGCTTAATGCATGTTCTTTTAATAATAAACTATATGCTTTGTGTTTGTGTGTGTATGTGTGCTCTGCTTCCAACTCACCCTCCCCACGAGTGCTCTCGGTGGTACTGTCCGATGGTTTGCTGGCCCCGTGGGATGTGTAGGCCTTGACGTAGAAGGTGTAACTGGTGGAGGGCTCCAGGTCCCTGATGATCTGCTGCAGCGTCACCTTGCTGACGGCCTCCTGATATTCCTTCTCCGGTGAGTCTGAAGGAGTAAGGAAGAGGAGGAGATGGAGTAACAGAAAGAGGAGAAAAGAGTGAAAGGCGTAAAGAGGAAGAAGATGGGAGGAGGAAGAAGGCATTAAAGTGATGGAAACTAAGATCAAAAGGAAACAATAAAAACCATCTGTGTTTGTCGTAATTTTATGGTTATTGCCCATTTCACTGGTTTTGTCAGAGCAGCTATGTTAAGTTATTAAGTAACAGCCAATCTAGTTTGGCCCTGGGAGCCTGAATAACAATGGTTAGGTGAATTGTAGGGGTGGAGTGAGGAGATGGAGGGGGTTAAAAGGGGAGTTATAAAGGATGTATAAAAGCATTTTATTGCTTTTAATCCAGAGACAACCAACCATAACCACTATCTACTTCCAGCCCTCAACCCATTGGGCCATGTCATCTTGGAACGGTAATTACTGCAGATGCTATTGGTTGGCCCCTGGGGCCCTTAATTATCCATCCGATGGAACTACTGAGGAGAACGGCAGCTGACGCTATAAAACTCTCACCACACACAGAAAAACATATACTTGCCCAAAGCAAAGTAAGCAAACAGACTGCATGTGCGTAAACAAGAATGCACATGTATGTATGAAGACTAAGAACAGCTTATTTACAATAAATACAGTGAATCCAAATTGCTCCCTCATTTGCAGTATTTTGTAGTTATGTGACTAAATTTACATATTTCAGTAATGTGAAGTTTTTAGATATTTCAATAAAAGGTCTTTTGGCTTCTCTGTAGGACTTAATAACATGGCAGAGATAATTCATTCTGAAGTGATCACAAACGTTTTATTTTGTCTATCTTCTGCCTCTCCTCTCCTCACCTATGTTTTATTTTAGCGAGTAATCTATTGCGTATAACTATTTGGATCTTCAGTGTAGCCCCACCTGAGGTCTTGCGGATGTGGAGCACATAACCGATTATGTCCTGAGTGTTCTGATCGGGCTCCCTCCAGGACACCAGGATGGTGGTGGGTGAGAGGGCCTCGGCCTGTACATGGGTGGGCACACCAGGCAGTCCATCAGCCCAGAGCACCGTGAGGCGGGCACTGGCCTGTGTGGAGCCGGCGCTGTTCTCAGCGATACACTGGTAGATAGCCTCATCATCCTGGCTTATACCATATATGGTCAGCGTGCTGTGAGAGGAGGATGAGAGAAGAGGTGGAAAAAGATGTTTAGTTTATCTGATAAGAGTTAATTGTGTAGGACTGTATATTATAGTGTTGAATAGTTGTTAATTAAAGAAATTAATTAAATTTTTCACTTTAGTAAAAGTATTTGCAGTAACAAGTATTAGTAAACAGTACTCATTGTGTAACAGTATGAACACTTTTACCTGCCTCTGTTACTAGTAACACCTGCACCTTGCATTTAAGCAGTTGAAAATCATTTCTTATGTGATTCTCTGCCTTAACTTGTAAGAGGTATTTTAACATATAACATATGGTTGCACAATAACAGAAAATGTGAAAGAACAGAACGCTTTTTGAATCGGCATCTGGATCCATATCTGTCACAAAAAACACACAATAGACAACTGGTGGTTGGCTGATAGTGGCCTTTGGAGGTTATCTATAAAAGAATCAAAATAATTTCCTACATATAACACATGAGGTATGACCATTTAAATTCATCATGTTGCTGTAGCAGAAATGCAATCTAACCATGTGGAATTGCTCATAGTGTTCAAGAGTTATGGCAGGTTATGTCAAATAAGCCATGCTCACAAGAATATGTCTAGGAAGTAAAAAAGTGAAAAGTTTTCAGACTCATCCAAATGTATTTTGGTGAACATTAGTAGAAATGTAAAGGCAGTAAAGGAAAAATCATGATGAAAAATATGCTAAACAGGGGAAATCTGCAGGCAGAAATAGCCTTTACCGATAGATTTGTATTAAATTCATGAAAACAAAACTATGCTTCATGTTTTTAGGAGTTATGAGGCTTTATTTGCTTTATATGTGAAAGCATGGTGACATTATTCTCATTAAAAATAAACTAAAGTTTCTGAAACATTCTTATGACAAACAACACCAAAAACACTTCTCCATCTATGGAAGTAACGACTATATCTACTGCTAGTAGAGTGGGAGAGTGCCTAGTCTCTCACAAGTAAAGTACCTGAACTTCAATAAAAGCACTTTCTGTACATACAGCAAAGAAGATGAATGTGACAGTATGTCAAGAGCACAAGGTACTGAGTTTAGCTGTGTGTGTGTGTTTGAGTGAGTGACAGATATTTGGGTCATATATCACATGCTACAGGCAGCAGCAGTATGTAAAGTAGATCCACACTCATGCAAGGCTCATACTTTCAAATATTCTACTGGAACTAAATCAGTGATACCTTTCTTCTATTCATGCACTCATTTGTACTCACATACCTATACACGCACGCACACACGCACACACAACAAGACATACAAAGTAAACCATTTTTCTCAATGCCTTCACCACTACTCTCTTTCTTCCAACCATCGCTCCTTTCTTCTTCTTCCCTCCAATCTGCACTGTTTTCATTGTGTATGCATGTACAGTTTTTGCATGCATGTTGAGTAGGTGTTATTAGGCGAGACAACATAATACACTGCTCTCATTGCGTTTGTCCTAAGGCAAAAGGAAAAATAAAACATTTAACATACTATGGAAACGAGGGCCTGTGGCGCTGAACTATTCTCATGCCATTTTCAATCCAAGGCCATTTCTGCTATATTTATGGTGTATGTGCAGGAGAAAAGTGAGAACACGCAAATAATAAACACCATGGGAGTACGGAAGGGTTTGAGTTGAAGCTTTTTCCATTTTGTCTATTTCAAGATGGTGTAGCCCTTCGGTCATGACATTTTAAGAGATCAGAAGCATCTTTTTCAAATAAAGGGAAGAAAACATTCTGGCTTCTACTTCTCATGATACTTTAAGTTGAAACAGTAGAATTGAATGAGCCAGGAGTTCAACCTATCCTGTAGCTTCTTGCTAATCTGTCACATGCGGTTTGTAAGAGTCCGTCAGATTTAACAGACTGTCATCTTTCTTTGACGGAGGGGTCGGATCCTCAGTTCATTAAATCAAAATTTATTAAGAAATGGCAGGACGGTCCCATGAGGAAAAACATGCAATTTACTGAACTAACAACGTTTCAGCCCTGTGCGGTATAACAAGATCTGTCACTGGCCACCTTCTGGACCTGTCAAAATGGAAATGAGAAAAGTGGCATTTCAGCTCTTGACAGACAGTGCTGACCTCACACCAGCCTCAGCAAGGTTTGTAAGGATGGATTTGTAAGGACAGGGGAGTGCTCCTCAGCAGGCAGGATAGAGGAGTGAATCATTCCATTTCCTTTTCAAAATTGATGTGCTGGGATACAATTGCAGTACGCCTCTAATCTGGGTCAGAATAGGGTGCGAGGTGGAAGAGTTTTTATTCTCTCCGATCTGTCAGGTGGATTCAATCTGGATAATTATCAGGTCAAAGAGACCTTCTGTGTTTCACCCTCTCTGAGCCAATCTCACCTCTGAACCCTGAGGTGGCAGCAGTCGCCAGCCCCCAGCTCGCTACTTAACCATCACATTTCTGACAGCCTTTCATATCAGCGATGGATGGAGTGTTTGCACACAGGCTGCCAGAGCAGACGCCAAACAGACGCAGCAAAAAGGCCCCAAGGGACGTACTGCCCGATGCCACCGGGGGCCTGGATGGGCCCCCTAAGCATGTGAGGGGAATGCGGAGACATTTCACAAGACCTTGATTGTTTCCAAAGGTACAGTAGCGTCCAACCGCATGTATGCTCACTCACATACACATGCATGAACACACTCACACATGTACATACCTCGCCACATACACGTGGACTGATGAAATTCCACACCTGCTGTCAAAACATCCAGGATGAAAGCATTAGTGGTTTCAACATTTTAGAGTATCAGAATAAATGAATGAGCAAGTGTTTTGGCCTAAATATTGAGATGAATAGTGTTTTATTCGTTTTGGCTATGACTTGATTAATCTCTAAGATTTTCATAAATGTTTGTTTTTGTGTGTTACACTCAACTAATGAAGCAAGAGCTGACTTTTATTGTAGTCACATGAAATGCAAGGCGTTTGTCTGCCAGCTTAGCACACCTCCAATGTCTCAGTGAGGTAACTCCTTTCACTGAGCCCTGATGTTCGCAGACTCATGCCGTGTTCAGCATTAAATAAGATCACGGTTGCTCACAGAATGATAGAAAATGGCAAACTATTGTCAACAATAGTTTGTTTTGCTTCACCCAGAATTCTGTGACCGGCAATATTAAACTGCACTTAGATCTACCACCAGTAACCACAGGTGTCACCAAATCAACCAGGACTGAAATCTTAAGGATTACAACTTTAAAGTTGTAGTCGGCAAGATTCTGTGTTTTGGTTTCACTTCAGCATAATTTTTGGTGCTAACCAGATTTATGGACACCTTGTACAAATATGTCTGTGAAGATTCTCAGTCATCCAGGTCATAGTTATCCAACGAAGGTTAAAGTCAGAACTGAAGAAGTCCCTTGGATGAGGGACGAAACGTCTTCCAGTATCTTCAACCAAGTCCAGTTGCCCTTGACTTTAACCTTCGTTGGATAACTTGTACAAATAGTTTGGCAAATGCGGACCTCTCTTTAATGTTTTTTTGAAGACACTTTTGAATAGATAGTTTGGTCTGATGTTTTAGAATAGATTGATCTATATTAATATGCAACAGCAGAGCAGGGCCACCATAGATCCATATAATGTGTGAGGGGGGAAAAAAGAAGAGAAGAAGCGATTTGGGAGGTATGTGGCCTGAATTTGGACTACTTGTTTGTCTTACATGAGGACCAAAGCAAAGCTGTCATGTCCTGACAGGTTGACACCATCATTTACTCATCAGTTCAAGGTCATTTCACAGATTGATAGATAAGGCTGTGGGCCAGAGAAGTGGCTCACATGGGGGCCTTGGGTCTGTTGTTTGGCTGCTGAGGCTGTGTTTATTCTCCGTTGTCTCTGAGCAGCACCCCATCAAAAGCCAGCGTGGCCATTCTGGATCCAGCAAGAGGGAAAGGGGGAAAAAAACAGGGACAAAGAGAGAACAGGAGGAAGAGGTGGGGAAGGGGGAGGGGAGGAGCGATGAGCTGTCTGTGGCCTGAGAGGAGGGAAGGGCCCAGGGATATGACTGATTACAGGCAGGGTCAGAGTTCAAGACCAATGCCCAGGCCCCAGCTCTCTGTAATGGGGGCAGTAAGGAGAATGTGGGGCACAGAGAGGGGCTGCAAACAAGAAAGGCAGGTCTTGGTGAAAGAAAGCAGGGAAAAAAGAGCGGAAAAGAAAAAAAAAACCTTTGAAGAGAGTCTGCAACGAAATGTCCAGATTTGTGTGGTAGCCTGTTCCTTCAGATGTTGGCCATTAATTATAAAACACCTCAGCGGTCACACACACTTGAAACATGTTCTTTTTTTAGGATCTTAAGTTTTCTAAATTATTTACAGAAAGAGTAAATTAGAAAAATGGGATCTTTCACTCATTTGCCACAAGTGAGAATGTTCGGCATCATCAACGGCATTATCACTTTTAAAACAAAACAGGCTGGCTTTCTACCTCAGGATAATTATTCTGTCTGATGTGAGATCACACCTTGTGCATGTTGGATGATTTCAAGTCCTTACATTAGCAACAACTAATAAGAACAACTAAATTGATGGTGCATTACATCCACATAATTAAACAAACAAGACAACAAAATCATAAATATATATATATATAATAGCCACAATAGCATGTTTTACAGGAGCCTGGTCAGCAAAAATTGGGGTAACAATAATGTGTAACGGCAGCAATGTCTCTTTACAGAAGCAGCCAATCGGCTCTTCTCTGATACCACAGCTTACAGTATTTCACATAGCTTTGTCTTCTTCGTGTGTGTTTTGTGTGTATAGTGTACATGCGGATGAAGAGTAAAGGGGCAACACGTTGAAACACATGAAATTTCATGTTTGATTATGCGGGCGCACAAAATGAATGATGACATGCACCACGGGACAATTTGTGTACATACGGGCTCTCTTGCATTTTGATTAATGTGTGTACATGCGTGCGTGTGAATGAAATGTACAATCAATTCCCCTTCCTTCGTTTGTCCGATTTGCTTTTGAAGGTCAGCATCATAAGAGACGCCTTAGGGGAGAAACCTCTGCGTGTATCTATTTACCCAAACACACACACACATATGCATAAATATTGATATATATATATATATATATATATATATATATATATATATATATATATATAAATAAAAAAATGTATGTGAACAGAATAACTTTGCTGCCCAGAGCTGTTGAATATCATTTGCATATCATTACTTTTGTTTTGGCTCCATATTTCTGAAGGTAAATTGTGCCCCGGACCCTTCCTTTTCCTTTCAGGATGTCCACTACACTAGAAAACACACCACGTGACTTCAGGCCTCAGGTAAAACTCACCTTACTGTAAATATTCAACTAAAATTGAAGAGGTGGCTATAGCTCGGTGGGAAAGCCTCTAATCATAGAGGTTAGTGGTCCTACTATCGGCTTCTCCAACATATGTACGTATAAATGTAAGTAATGTAATGGGTAATTTGACAAATGTGTCAGCTATGTCAATATAATCTAATGTAACTAACCATCTTAAATGTAATTCCACCAGATTATGATTTCTATCAGCAGAACGAGGAAATTTTATTATTGAGACAATCGGCAAAATGTTTAATGTTAACATATTCAATTTGTAACACCTGATCCTGGCAACTAAAGCATGATATTATGGTTAAGTTTAAGCAATGCAAAGAGTTTGGTTCTGCTTTAGTAAAGATTATGGGTTTGGTTCAGTATTGATAACATAAACGCATCCCGTGAAGACACAAATTCTGGTCTCGAGTTTCCAATCCACGTGTTATGTACAATTTTGACAATAACTTTAAATTTTTTAAGCTAATATTTAAAATGATACAGTTATTAGCTTTGCAAATGTAAACATTTTCACTGTTTTTCAAGATTAAAGTAAATATATTTTGGTTTTGTACTGTTGGTTGGACAAAATATGTCAACTTGGGCTTTTGGAATTTGTGATGTACATTTTATTCTATTTTCTAACGTTTCGACTAAACAATTAACTGATTTATCAAAAAATCAGTTTATCAACTGTCATCAATGATGAAAAGAATTTTTAGCTGCAACCCTACTTGTGAGTGAACGCATTCAGGCAACAGATACATTTACTCCAAAATGTACCTGGCAAAGCAAATTAGATGCATATAAAACATACAGTATCTTGGTTAATACTAAGGCTGCTTTCACACTCAGATGATCTGTAATATCATACTAGAGACTGTGATAAAAAACAAGACCGTAATATGTTCTCTCTTCTCACAGTTCAGCTACACAGTGCAAACTCTTAAGATGCACATGAAGCTGCACTGTTCTTTAAATGGCTGACTGCATTTCCTGGTCAACTAGCTGAGTTTATGAGCTAATTAGCTAATGGTAGGTCTCAAACTGAGGCCTGCTTCTTTAACCAATTACAGAGCGGGCTTTGAGATGCATGAGATCCATATTACAGCAGGTCTATAGCATGCGCTAATAATGGCAAGGTTAAACCCTGCTCTGATGCTCTGACTACCCGCTCTATTTTTCTCTCTCTCTCCTCATTTATTTTTCCTGCCGACTCATCGTTCTCTTTTGACCACCCATTAATTTGTCTTTTTTCTGTATCTCAGTCTGGCCTCTCATTTATTTCTTCATTCTCATCTTTCCTCCTCTGTTAGTCCGGCACGCCATCTCTCTGACTAATACGGACTGGTGGAGGCAAGTGGGAGTGGAGCAGTGTATGTGAGCGATGGAGGTGTCTACTACCTTCACTCACTGCTACGGAGTGCAAGTATTGATTTTCTGGTAGCATATGTAACATATCACTTCATATTTCTCTCCTCTGAATTCTAACAACATACACGGATGGTTGGCTGCCAGGGTCAACTGGAAAACTGGAACTTTCCGTGCACAGTAATGCATAATAGAATTTATTCAAAAACACATTTGCGGGATGGATAGAGTATAGCAGTTTGTGATCACACACCCTGCAAACAGTATTAGCAACACGCTGGACACTTATGTGTTATCCTTTTTAAGTAATGCCTTGAAATCAGGTGCAGGAAAACTGTAGAAACTTGATCATGTTCAGCCATCAGTCTGTAAATCTCACATGCAGTTTATCATGCTCTTAAATAGCAAATAAAACCCAGAGCAGAAAAGCGGGTCCAATGTGGAATTAATCCACAATAATCCATAACATTAAAAGAAACTGTACTGTAACACATTAAAACAGTCACTGCAACATGTGTGAGGTGCTGAGAATGGTAACAGAGTTGGTTGCTGGGTCCTCTTCCTCATGACATTCCTAGGGACCGCCATGGGAAAGCATCCAACATCCAGTCAATATGCTACTCACATACAAAGGCACAAATAAATTGAGGCTCATGTCTTGGCAGGCATGAATTCCAGCAGCTGCCGTTTTAAAAGCAACAGAAACCCTGAGAAACTGAACATTTGATGATGCCAATAATCCAATCAAGGCAGCAGTGATTAATACTGACACCCATATTACACATGTGAGCTGGGGCCAACTTTGTAAGCATACAGTCAGTGTCATGAAGGTATAGTGAGAGAAATTTGGGTTGTTAATGTTAATGAGCACATAAATTAAAAGCTAAAAAGACAAATGTATTGCTGGCAGCCCAAAAGTTACTTTTATCAACGGCTTACAAATTATCCATAAACAACTTATCATTTATTAATCATTAATAAAGCAATTGACCCTTCGCTAAGCCCCGCCCCCCTTAGTAACTGTTGCTAAGTCCGACAAACTGTCTATTGCTACACTGCCCGGAAAAATATAGTCAAATTTGTTGGAAAAAGCGATCTCAGAAAGAAGCAGACAGTTTTGCAGTTGCATTATACATTTGAAGGTTGTATTCAGGCTGTCAGACTGACTCAAACTGACGAGAAAAATGAAAGATAGAAGCTAAAACCTACTGATCACACAGTACAAGTGAAACACCGCATCCCCCGACGATTGAGACAAAAGACAACGATATGAACGATCAACAGTGTTCCTGTACAGCTGGGTAGGCCTATATTCATTATTACAATCATTAAAAAGCAGAACAGTAGGGCTTTATTACGTTAAATGCAGTAGGAAGTTAGCTAGCGTTACCTAACTAACATTACATTGGGAACAATCCACAGCTGACATTTTTCTGGATTTGTTTTAGGTTATGGAAAGAGAATAAATCGTACTTCTCCTTTCAGCCTGTCTGGGTAGCGACTATAACTATTACAAGATTCCCCAGGAACAGCGTTTGACCAGATCTTAGAAAAATACAGCCCATAAAAGCTAGAAAACGACTCTTTCTGCATTACAGTCAATGAAGCGCAGCCATGAAAATGTGGGACCCCAGTTAGAGCGAGTCCTATACTGCGCTGTGATTGGCCAGCTGCGTATTCGAGACGTGGCTTAGCTAAGGGTCAATTAGTTAGACCGCAAAAAGCCAAAGCCTTTACATTGTCCTCATCCTTATAATTCTGTGGGTATTCCAGTATATATAAATACCTTTCTGGATATCAGGGGGAATTTTCTTTTTTCTATAGGCCTACCTGTTGTTTTTCTTGAGTTTGACGTGTCCCCTGGGCTCCAGAATCTGCCCATTCTTCAGCCAGGTGAGCTGGGGCTCAGGCTCGCCTTGTGCTTGGCAGGTGAAGACGGCGGTGGTGCCGACGGGCCGAGCGATAGACTGCGGCGGTTGAACAAACTCTGCTGGAGCTGAAAGAGGAGGGAAAATGAGAATCACATAAGTTTTCCTGGTTCCCAATACCAAAATGACTGATTTGAGCAGGATCAAGAGTTGCAAAATCTTAAACTACAAAATGAGATTGATAAATAGACAAGAGAGAAAAAGCAAGAGAGTGAGAATGAGAGAAGAAAAATATGAGAGCCTGCAGGGTTTCCAAGTAGCTGCCATTTATTAATAAGAAGCAGTGTACTGTATTATAGCTGTTTTGTATAAACACTGTTGCATAATTCAGGGTCAATTAGCAGGATTATAAGAGACACCAGATCAATGCTGTTGGAAATAAATAAAGAGAGAGAGAGCAGGAAAGTGGAAGGAAGAGAGCAAGACAATAGGAGTCCTGCTCAACAACACACTTGGAACTACTTGCCACCAATGTGCTTTACTACTTACTGACTTTAAATCACAGAATAATTACAGTTACATCCGCTGGGGTTTAAATTCCTGAGTTGGTGTTTTTATTTGAGATGACACACATTGAGTTATTATATCAGCTTCTCTGCACTTATTATTGTCCCAGCGGTTAACAGTGATTTGATAATCTGAATTATTTACGCCCATATTAACTCAGAATTTTTTTTTATGGTAATTATAATATCTCATAGTCATCACTAGAGGGTAGGAAGCTGGCACACTAAGCATGTCAAATTGCCTGTTGAATAAAAGCTCCACTGTCCTGCCTTCCTTTGGTCCTAATCATTTAACCCATCATTACCCAGTGGGACAGTGCAACTGTAGTCAAATTGTAAAATTACAGTTTTAGCATGCTGGTTGGGGAAAAAATCAATTAAATTGTCCTGTTGTTTAACACAGAGAGAAACCTGGATCAGTGTGGTGATTCTTAACCAGTGACTCTTGGTCATAAAAAACCTAAAACAATGATTGGGTGTTTCTTTTTTTGGCATCTCTTTAATTCATACAATGTTTATAGTATAACATTCAATATTTGTTATTGGCAGTTAATCCTATGAAACGACAACAAACCACAATGCAAGTAGATGGGCCTCTAAACTGCAAGATAGGTCTAAGAAAGTTTTGATCGCAAACTGTGTCAGACTGTATGTTATCAATTTTGAGGCTTGTCAGATGATGTAGCGCTAAGATGTATACCGGAAAAGCTGAACATTTGGTGAACTATAGAGTATTTACAGCTTCAGTGTATATGGGATTGAATTGAAACAAACTGCAGTGTCCATGATTATCGTAATTAAGGACCAAGTCACTAAAAATTGTTTTTGGACCACAATGGAGCTATATGGCACAGAAGAATAAGTTATATCAAAATTTGGCTTCACAGACAACAGTTATTTGTCAGATCAAGTTACTGTTGGTTCTTTTCAATGTATTTGTTGACAAGAAGAAAATTGAATTTAATATTGAATATCTCCACTGATACTTGATACTTCTGATACTTTACATTGTGTCGAATTTATTATTTCCTTCTGTTTCAGTTGTTTTTATGCCACTGGTCTGTCCTCCCTCTTGTTCCCACCCTTTTTCAATGTACGCATTTCCATTCTCCCACTGGGACCCTTAGGCACTTGCATGGAGGCTGCTGACAGCGTACAGTGTAGGATGGTCCTTTCATTTGTCTTTCCCTCCTCAATTCGCACTTTCTCTCTCTCTGTTCTTCTTGACTTAAAGGTGAAGGTCAGAGGGAGCTCTGGAAGATATTGATTTGCACCTGTATGGGTGTGGGTTAGACCAGATTAGCACCATCCATCCATCTTGCTCTTGTTTTTCCCTTTTGGCTCTCACACTTTAACTCCTCCTTCGGTCTTTGTTTCTGTTACCTCTATTTTTGTACACTAAAGGAGCCAAAATGAATCTAATTGATTTGTTATATTAGAATTAATTTTTAGATGAGTCAGGATAAGTGGTTGACGATGAATGGATGGATGGATGTTAGATGAGTGACGGTTTTCCGTCAAGTACTCTTGTCTGCATTCATTTGGAGATAGAGGTTCTGACCGCTCACATTCAGATGTGTGAAGTGGCTTATTTACTCTACACTAGACATATTCTTCAAGGACAAGCGGTAAAAAAGATTTTTTCTTATAATGAAATAGGCTATCTGATTTATTTGAAGTTAACAGTACACCTCTATTTCCACAAATCAATAACAAAAATCAAAAGACATTAATACATAATTAACATCCATGGCTTTTCTTCTTTGTTCTTGCTAAGGTAGGAGCTTATCTCAGTCTTGACAGGCAGCTAAAATGAAATATTGATCAGGATCAATACCATCTGATGTGTCCATCTGATCAATATGTGAGCAAGGCAGATGCTGGATGTTTCCTGCTTGGTGACAATTAATGCACAAGGCCACCCATGCCTTGTCTCATCTCACTGGTCAATACCATCCATCTCTCTAACCCACCATCAAGCACTTTAAAAGTACTGGTGTAGAATTCCAATATCTAGTGACTACTGAACTGTCACCAGCAATAATATTGATCCAAAACTCAAAATATAATCACTGTTGTCCCGTCAGTGTCTATGTATTTGGTACACGTATGGTTACCAATGTGTTTTTATGTTTTGAATGATTATGTCCTCGCCTCTCATATGCCTCACAGTGGTTTGGTCCACTGCCTACCCTTTTCAGACCCTCAGCGACTTTATTTCTAAAAAGCAGCTAACGACAAATCTAGTGCGTTACTCTAGACATCAGGAGGAAAGTGAGAAATATACAAAAGTCTATTATATTGTAGGCTAATGTGCATAACACAATGCGCATGCAGGTAGGATTAAGAGTGAATATTGAGTCAATATTATTATTATATTGAGTCAAGCAAAGAGGCTTATTAGCTTATAATTTAGAAAGTTATAACTGACGGGTGAGATATTTCTTCACAATAACTTAAGCCTATATAGCTGTTAAAGTGCCAGAAAGTTGCCTCTTTTCTTAGCTTATAGGAATGCAAGCAGTTCATAGGCCTTTAGTAGCTAGTATAATATCACCAAACAAAACAGAGTAATAAAATATTGAAAAAGGACTTTCAGAGCAACATGTTAGGCAGGGAGACTGTATAGATGTCCACCCTCAGAATTCACCAGCTTTACCTTTTCACCAACTCCTACCTAATCTTTTAAAATGGCATATCCCTTTTTATCCAGAACTCACCTTGGACCACCAGACGTCCCTGAGCAGTCCTACGAACACGGGTCCCTGGTTTGTTAGCAGCGCACACATAGACCCCTGAATGCTGCACACGAACATCTGAGATCATCAGGTTCCCCGTGCCGAGTACCTGGATTCCCTCCACACCGATGGGGCGGCCGTCTACTCAGGGGAAAGAAAGAGAGACAGTGAGCAGTTGTGAAAGAGGGGAAATAATTGATATAGGACATCAAAGAAAGACCAGGTATGCACATGTACAGTATGCCTTCATGTCAGGGTAAACGGATGTGCGAGTACTACAGTACAGAGTGGTTTAATTAAATGTGTTGCCAATTTACAACCACGCGTTGACGGAGGCAGTGCTATTTCTGGGCCTCCAGAACTCAAGGATGAAGCTTTCACAGTGAAGTGTGTGATTCTCAGAACTGTAATGTCTTGTGACAAAACCTGCCAGTCCAGTAGACACAAGGATAACAAAGAGAGGAAGGTCACTGAGTTTGTTGTGTGCGTGGCATTCAGGATGCAATTCGTTGTCTGCATTGGCAGCTTTTGATGGATGTCAGAGTGACATCCTAAGCCCCAATCAAACAGAGCGCAGTTTTTGCAGTGAGAGGTGTCTTTTTCCAGTTGTATTCTATAGGCAGTAAGCGTTTTGCTTGTTGCTAATGGGCCCTTGGCACCTCGCGTTTAAGAAATGTGCTTCACACATTTTTGAAGCTGTGAACACTCAGTGACGAAAAACACCCGACATCATTTGCTTTTTTCCCCCCATTGTCCAATCGGATCAGTGTGTGAGTTTAATTCAAAGCAAATTCACGTTTAGTCTAAGGTGATTTGGTGGTGGCCTTTAAAAAAATGCAGAGCTTCAACAAAAAAGGTGTTTTGTTTGGGTCCTACCAAGTGTGTTTCTATTTTAAAAAGAATCATCAGGTGTCTTAATGTTTTACTGTGAATTATTTGAAGTGCAGCTTTTCAAATGGATGCTCAGTTAATTAAAGCTATCAGACTTGAACAGGAACTTTTTTCTTTATGCCTTTGACTGCTAAAGATTTGCTTCAACAGTAGATGTTCCAGCCTCCAGTGGGTGACCAGAAACTCTAACTGTTACTTCTAATCTCCTATCTCCCTACACAATCCTTAACTGCCTCCTCTCTGCTCACGCTGTACTTACATGATAAGCTCACACTTTCTTGTGCTCCCTCTCTGCAGTCTCAACCCCAACAATGACTACATTCTGCTTCTGATATTAGCTTTGGGGCAAAGGGGGTAATTTAATCCTATCTCTCTATGACTTCCACCTGCAGCCTATAAGCCTGTATGGTCCAGATTTGATGTGCTACAAGGCTAGTCAGGGAGGCAGGGAGATAGGCAACACACTGGACACATGGAGAAGCAGGAGCTCCAGACAGAAACACAAACCATATCGTCACTGGTCGGCAGTGTATTTTTAGGTGTACTTTCATATTTTAGTGCTAATACAGTTATAATACAGTTTTAATCTTTAATAACAACTTGTACTACTGCATGTATCAAAATGACTCTTAAAACACAGCAATATAAAACAAAAATATATAGAAATAAAGGGATTAACAGTGAGACAGGAAATTAAATCTGTCAAATAAACGAGAATATAGTCAAGCACTAAAATCAGTGTTAAGCTGCTGTGAATAGAGGAGTTTCAGATGCCCTTTAATTAGATATGTTCACTTGTCCTGTATGGCAAAATGCAATTATCACTGCAAACACACAGCCCCTTTTAGATTTTTCTAAGCAGAGGATTAAAGAAATTATAATTTCTAACCAGATGATAAGAACAACCGTGTTTGAAGACCTCTCTCACAGCTTTCTGGGTGATGTCTTCATTTCAGAAAACCCTCAGAGGATTATTGAAGTCAGTTCAAAACTTAACTGGCAGTCAGTGCACTGATGCCAAACAGTGATATGAGCTCCACAGTCTTTGTAAGATATCTTGCAGCTTCATTTAGACAAGATGTAATCTTGTGGTGATGGATTATGAAGAGGACAATATTTGTAATTAATCACGGCAAATTATTGAGATGAAATAAATCACTCCAACGTGCTTTCCAGTGCTTTTTCTCTGCCACTGTGATGTGTTTTATTGCTACTTCTGAATTTTTCCATTATCACTAAATAACTCACTGGACTGAGAAGTAACAGTCCAGTGGGCTTTTGTCTTAACAAAGGCAGTTCTTTTCTTGCCCTTTTCTACTATATTTCTTTCTCTCGCTTTCCCTCCATCGGTTTCTCTCTGTCAGGCACTAATTAACTTAGTGTCAGAAAAGAAAGAGCACAAGCTAGCAGGTTGTGGTGCTGCTCAATGAATAGCTGCAAACAAACACTGGCATTAAGGAGTGACTGATGTGAAACTATCAGATTCATTATGCAGCTTATTCCAGCCTCCCCGCCGTAATCTAATACACACAAAGCCCATCGTGTTAGCATTTCATTCTAGCGACATTGTGTAAGGCAATACCTTCAATCTGATTATGCCCAACTGCTTGGGAGGGGTAGCAATTTATATTTGGAACAGAAAATCAGATTGGATAATAGGTAGAGAAAACATATACCGGATTGAAAAATCAGACATGACAGACTTTGAGTGATAGTCAAGAAAAATTGCACATGGAGGGAGGAAACTCATCTGTCTCAGCACCTAATAGCAATTACTCAGAGGCTCTCCAGTGCTTCGAGGGAGGTTCAACTTTACAAGGAGGTGAAGCATGCATTTATCAACACAGAGTCCAACATAATGTTTAGCCCTAAGGCCTAATGTTGAATCCCATTGCTTCATGTTTATACAATAGATGCTCTACTGTATCAAATGTATTCTGTGTACATTACACACTTCAGGACAGTTCAAAGCTGTGCTGCAAAGAACATACAAACCCATGAGAACGCAAAGCACATATGACCCACACGAAATACTCAGATTCCACATGCATGAATGCACGCAGAGATTGTGCTTCGGCTCACTGACACATAATTCATCAAACACAAAAAATTAAAAAATTAATCAAAAAAAATCAGACTACATATATGCACATTCTGGGGCCTTTTCTTTGATCTGATCAGGAATTTTTCTCACCTAGTCTGCTCCAAGACACGATGGGCCGAGGGTATCCGGTAGCAACACACTCCAAGATGGCGGTCTGGTGAATAGTGAGGGTGAGGTTTTCTGGACCGACCAGGATCATAGGCTCTTTGTAAACAGATGACTGGGAGCCTGGAAAACAAGGGGAGAGGGGAGCACAAGATAGGAATGAGCATGATGGATGGAATCCTTTAATTGGGTTTCTCTAGAGTGCTTAGCTCGATATGTTGTATCTCCTAGATCAGGCAGAGGAACAATAGGTTTGGAAAACAAGAGGAGAATGCAGTGCTTATATTCGAGCAGTGATGGGAAAAACAAAAGACCGCAGGTGTGTACCCTCGGTTCCATGTGACAAAAGACTGCTCATAGTATGTAGACATGACATTCGTTAAATATAACAACCTGAAACAGTGAGGAGTGCCTCAGTGCTGTGTTTCACTCCTGCGCTGTTGTGGGCCACACAGCAGAACTTTCCACTGTCCTCCTCACGCACTCCTGTAATCTGCAGAACACCTGTAGGCAGAAGAGTGTACCTACGAGAGAGAAAAAAAGCCAGAAGGAAACAAATACGATGAGACCTGGTAAATGACCTATAAAGGTCTGCTGTCTCTAATTAGTGTCAGGCCGTGATGTGGTTTGGTCCAACCTATCGTCCTTGGTGTCCACAGCGCGGCTGTCTTTTTCCCAGCTGATGACAGGCTCTGGCAGACCATGGATCTGGCACTGGAATCTAGCCACACCAGACTCCTCAGCATGCACCGACTCGGGTTGGACATGGAAGTCTGCCATGGCTGTAGAGGGATGGAGAGAGGGATATTAGTTCGTAACATCACAACACATCTACAGAGCAACAAGCTTGGCTGCCTACATACATATTTATAGGCCAAGTATGGAGAATTCTCCTGACAAGTTCACGTTGTCCTTCGCCATCGAACCATTATGTCTGCTGGTAAAACGCTTCACAACAACACTGTGTGATGTGCCAATGTCACGTGCACACATTCATTAACACATATTATAGAGAAAATTCAAGATAAGGGACAATGACTCACAGGGGGTGAATACTGACTGACTGATAAAACAAAGATTGAGATCAATGTAGAACTGCTGTATTTAGAACACAAGGATTAGCTTATATAGTAGTGTTCAAAACAATGTGCACACTGCTCTCTTTACTAACAGATAAATTAGTTATGCAGTGGTTAGCACTGTCGCCTCACAGCAAGAAGGTCATGGGTTCAAACCCCGGTTGCCCCGGCCTTTCTGTGTGGAGTTTGCATGTTCTCCCCGTGTCTGCGTGGGTTCTCTCCGGGTGCTTTGGCTTCCTCTCACCATCCAAAGATAGGTGGAGAAGAAGGTGACTCTAAATTGTCCTTAGGCATGAGTGTGAGTGGTTGTTTGTCTATGTGTGGCCCTGTGATGGACTGGCGACCTGTCCAGGGTGTACCCCGCCTTTCGCCCGATGTCAGCTGGCCCCCCGCGACCCTGTACATGGGATAAGCGGTTGACGATGGATGGATGGAGGATGATGAAGATGAGAAGGTACAATACTACCAGCTGTAAAGTTTTTTCTCTTTTTTCCCTCTTCTCACTCTTTTCTAAACAAATCAATACACCCCGTGGTTCAGAAAGAAAGCTAGTGTGTCCACATGCAGGATATATATGGAGACTGAAACTATACCGACACCCATGACCACTAAGAAAAGTAATGCTTTGGCTAACCTGTACACACTAAAGGACTGTTAGATGCTCACTGTTGTGGCATTCCTCAAAGGAAATGTTGAGAAATTACAATAAGATTTTGAATTTTGCATATTTTTGCACAATATGCTAATGTCATGTCAATGCCATGTCCGGTGTTGAGACTTATGTGATGACTACTCTCTAGTGACTAGTGTCATTTAAGAGAGTTACCTTGTGATGGAAGTCAAATGGAAGAGATGTAGAGTATATTTCAGTATAGCTTCTTCTTTCATTAGTCAGGAATATCTGATTAATGTTACTTCAATCCAAATGCTGCATAAGTGTAGTTCCAAATCTTACAGTTATTTCCTAGAAAACTGTCTAAAAACCTTCCCTGCAAATGCCATCATGAAGAAACACATTCAAGTTATAGGAGTATATCTGCCATTCCTGCTAAAAGAGAAGACATAACACGTGTACAACTCTCCAAGCCACAATCAAAGACAACACAGACACACACACATTGCCACATAGCAAAACCAGTATCAATATCCCTACACAGAGCCTCATTCAGCTGCACTTCACATATCTACTCCCTGCAGAACAAAGGCGGCATTGGAGGTGGAGCCAGAGACAAACTCAATTAGAGAGAGGCCCTCTTCTTCTACAGTTCTCCCAACTTCTTCAACACAAGTGTACTCATTTAAATGTCAACCATAATTAACTTGGATGTAGGAGGACTTATCTGAACACTGTTAGCATAACAAAAGGGATGGACCCCTTATTATTTCATAACCTCCTGCTCGTCCCAACCTGTAGCCTGAATAAATTCATTACTCACAGGATGAGCAAGTAGTAAGCAGCACTTCTTCTGATTCTCCTGTTAGTTTCCCCCCCTTTTTTTATTCTGCTCTGCAGACAGTGAGTTTAAATTATTTACTGACTTGCATTGAATCTAGTCTACTGACATGTCGGTCATGTTTATTTTATACTTGTGAAGGTTTGATATAGAGACATAGTACAGTTTAAAAAGTCTGTATTCAAATAAAAGTAAACCATTGTTTTTAATGGGCAAGAGATGGAGGGAAAGACAGAGGGAGTGATATACTTCACAGAGACAGTACTTTACAACAGTGTAGCTGCATCAGTGGTCTAACGCTGTCATTATTCAATTTCCAAGCTTAATGAGAAGTGTGGCATTCTCCAACACGACTTGACCTTAGATCTCTGAATAGATGTATGGAGCTCTGATGAAAATGAAACATGCTAATTTAGTATTCATCCAGTACTCTTTCTAAGCTATCTCTGTGAGAAGAGATAGGACATTTACTCTCCATTATGTTATCTGGAGTTAAAAAATTCCTAGAGAATCTGACTGTTACTCACCCTGACAGATTTCTCTTTCACAAATGTTTTATTTTGCCTCTCTACTATAAGGCAACACTTTAACAGCTGTATATCTTACTGGGGCAATTCAGCTTAAGTGCCTATCTCAAAGGCCCAACTGCAATTTTTCCACCTGGGACTCACAACCCTCTAGTCATAAAATGTTTTAGGCCAAGCATTGATGACTTAAAAGTCACAAAGAACAACAGTAATATTTTATCACCTAGCCACTGTTATAATACATATACAGCTCTTTACATGTTTTTTAGATGATAACTATTCCCATTTACTACAGTGAAAAGCAAGCCCTTAAACATTCTTCACTTTCATTTCAATTTAATAATGTAAAACACTGACAATCATTGCAAACTCATCAGAAGTATCAAATAATTGTATTCTTCAAATGACACAATATTGGCCAATTAGAACATTTGCAGAGGTTCTCACTTCTTTTCAAGAATGAGTGTCAACAAAAGCAATCAGCAGTACTTTCTGTCTTGGCCTGCCTTAATGCGGAGCCCGGAGCAGACACTGCCAGAGCATAGCATTGAATTAAAGGCCTGCAGGCACTGCCACTGCTGATGTAGAATGGTTAGATGTAGTGGAACAGCTAGGGAACCTTCATAACACAATCCACATAAAACAAGGAGCTCAGAGTGACAAACATGATTATCAAGCTCGCTGTCTTGGAAAACAGTCTCAAATTAAGACACACACATGCTCACATACTGGTCCATGTGTAATGGGGACACTGGGGACATGGAGAAAGAAACTAAATTGCACTTGAATGCTGAAGAACAAAGGAGTTAAAATGGAGGACCTGTGCCTGTAGGAGCTTTCCTGTGCATCTCTGCCAAGTAGTCATGGTGTCCACTGATCTGGCTGTTCTGTGAGTATCCGCTGACATAACCCCCCTAACGGGCCCCACCCTTGGCCCTCATGCATAAAACATGGTTTCTGTATGAGGCCTACACCCCTGCGACTATCAGCACACTCGTCGAATCAGACGCAGTCAGAAAAATAGGGTTACATACACAGATAAACACATACAGAAGCAGAGAAACTGGTTAACAGTCTGGATGTAAAGGAAAACAGACACTCGTAATCTGCATTGTGCATTTACCTGTTTATTAGGTTGCAGAGTCAATCCAAAGGGATATAGCTCAGCTACAACACACACATAAACAAATACAAAGAACTGCTTCAACAGATACACACAACTATATCGAATGTCCTTGACGTTTTAGGATAAGACACAGACAAGGCAATGAGACACTCATCCCAACACCCAGCCCCAGCAGACATGTTCCTCTATTGTTTTTTCACTCTTCCTTTGCTAAGTGTTGATGGACACTCACACATGATTAAAGACTGTCCACTGCCAGCATGACACCGTGGGCTGAAATGGAGCAGGCCTAATTACTGCAATAAGGGGAGAGAATGTTGGGGTGCATACTAAAAAGAAATCTGTACACAATTGCACGGGGGGGGGGTTGCTCCTTGAACATATGTTTGACGGTTCCTCGGTGACAACCACAAAAGAAGAATGAGTGAGGGGGTGATATGAGGGAAGGTCACAGACAGGAAATGTGAAGCCTGGTGATTTCGGCGGGTAGCTGAGCTGTAAATCAGGTCTTGTCAAAACTCTGGTCACTTACAAAAGACAAGTGAGTGGGCTCTACTCCGCTGTGGTTTTTCACAATTTACAACCAAATACAATTGTTCCAAAATAAGTCAGAACCAGGCAGAACTTAACATGAAAATCTGTTTTAAAAGTCAATAGACACACAAAGTATGAAATATGTAGCCAAGTGCACAATTACTGATTATTGGGTTTGAGGGCCAATGACAAGCTAAAAGGCCAGTATTCGAATTTCCCTATTCTTCAATTCCACACTACTGGTCATGTGTAACAGATATTTAGGCCAGTGGATTTTCAGCCTTTTCCATATCAGAAACTCAGATCTATCTAATGAAGAAATGTAGATTAAATGGTGATTATTTGAATGACCCCTAGGCGATAATAATGTTTTTGCTTAATGGCTCCAAAGTAATGATCCATTTCCTTATTGCTCAGTTAAACACACACACGCACACACGAACACACACACACACACACACATACACACACACACACTCAACAGAGAATAATTAACAAGGTGATTAAAAGCCCAAACAGTTTTTTCTGTGGCAACTCTCACTGCAGTGACAAAATCAGCCAATCTGATGAGACATTTCCATGTTTTTTTCACAGGCATGTAGTCTGATGTTTCATTCATTGATATGACAGAGGTAATGATGCCAGTAGAGACACAGACATCCTACAGCACCATTCAAACCTGCAGCTATGGTGTAAAGCTTCAGTAAACCCCCATGTTATAATGTCATTGCCCTCCCTCATATCTTCCCTCGCCTCTGGCACTCCACACCGCACCCCACTAAACCGTACATTTCAACCGTTTGCTCGGCTCTTCATCGCACCCCTCGCCCCACCCCCATGAGTCCTCTCAAGCCTGTGACATCATTAAGCACATGTTGTTCAAGCAGTGGGGATGACTGCTGTACCCACCCCACCCCCACTTTGGTAAACCAGTAAAATAGAGTTGAGGCCCATAAATAATGGAGAAGGTGTACGGTGCCAATCCAGCGTGGAGAGTCCACTCTTCAACAGCCTTTAAATAGACATCCCTGAAATAGTAGGCCCTCTGCTGGGACCTTGGAG